AGGCAGGCAGGCAGGCAGGCGGAAATGGTCTAGAGTCTCCTTTTTCAGTGGAGGGTTGGACTAGAAGACCTCCCAGGTCCCTTCCACCTATATTCTCATAGATGATAGATAGAACAATAGATCGATAGATCAATAGATAGATTGAAAATGCAGATATACAGACAGACAGATAAAAAGAGGTTGAGGCTTTGGAAAAAGGGCAGAGAAGAGCAACTAGGAGGATTAAAGGGCTGGAAGATCAAATAGACGGAGAACGCCTGCAGGAATTGGGTTTGGCCATTCTAGAGAAAAGAAGGGCTGGGGGGGACAGGATGGGAGTCTTCCAATATTTGAGGGGCTGCCCCAAAGAAGAGGGTGGGGTCAAGCTATGCTCCAAAGCACCCGAAGGCCAGACAAGGAATAGTGGATGGAAACTGATTCAGGAGAGAAGCAACATGGAATTAAAGAGGAATTTCCTAACAGGGAGGACAATTAACCAGTGGAACTACCTGCCACCAGAAGTTGTGGCTGCTCCAACACTGGAGGTTTTCAAGAAGAGACTGGAGAGCCATTTGTATGGAAGGGGTCTCGGGTCCCCTGCTTGGGCAGGGGGTCAGCCTAGAAGACCTCCGAGGTCCCTTCCAAGCCTATGAGTTTTATGGTCGACGGCAGGGGTCGAACATAAAACTCAACTTTTAAAGCCTTGTGAACTTCAACTCTCACGTCTCTGTCTGGACTTTCCTCAGCCGTCCAATCTGGAACGGCGGAGGGTCTCCTGCTCGGGGGTCGGACTAGAAGACCTCGGAGGTCCGTCCCGGCTGCCTTCTGCCCGAGCCTGCGGCGAGAGGCGCGTCCTGGCCGGGCTGGGCGGCGCGTGTGGGCGGGCGCGGCGGTGGGGCGAGGCGCTCCGCCTCGGGGGTGTCCCCGTCCCGCCCCGAGAGCCGCCCCCTGGGGCCGCGCCCCGCCCGCCCGCCGCATCCCGGGAGCGCCCGGCCGAGCTGACAGTCCGGCTCCGCTCCTGCTGCCGCCGCTGCTGTTGCTGCTGGTGCCCCGGCCGGCCGGCCGAGCGGGCGGCGGCGGCGGCACCTGAGCCCCCCGGGCGGAGGGCCGGGCCGGGCCGGGCTTCTCCCCCACCCCCCAGCCGCCACCCCTGCAGGATGAGCCCGCGCTGCCTCCTGCGCTCGCTGCCGCTGCTCATCCTGGCCGCCTCCTCGGCCAACGCCAGCAACTGGCTGTGAGTGGGGCGGGCGGGCGGGCAGGTGCGCCGGCCCCGGTTCGCCTTACCTGGCCGGCCTGCGATCGGAGACTGGGGGGCAGAGGGGGGG